CGATGGGCCAATCCATTATTTTAATTTATCTGTTTAGATGTTAGTGTAACCTAATGGATCAAACCACCTAATTTTTTTTCTCTCAAATTTATTTATTTTCTCATCTCTTTTATTAATTTCCTGTTTTCTAATTATACTTTTTTTTGTGTAAATTGATTTTTAAAATAAAAATAAAAATAACAAACAAAACAAAAAGTCACTGTAACTATAAAAAAATAATCAGTATTTTTATTTAAAATGAAATAATAAGAAAGGGTTTACTAATAAGAAAAATTTATAAAAAAATATCAGTATTTTTATTTTAATTATTATTTTTAAAAAACTATTTAACTTTTACTCTTGTACAATATGAACTCTTTTTTAATTATTTATGCATTTATCATTCATCTAATATTTAGTAATGTTATTTAATGTAATGTGAAAATAAAATGAGTAAAATACAAAAATTAGAAATGTAAATAATCTATTGAAATAAAAAATAAGTTATTATATGCGAGAGAATGCATCTTGAAGAATAAAATTCAATGATACCTTATTATAAATTCATTAATTATGATTATAATTAATTTTAGATTTTATTAAATATATATTTTAAACAATTAACTTTGTAATCAACAATTGTAATTATATTTTATGTCAATTTTTTTTCAAAATATAAAAGATGAAAACAACATAAAAAATAGGCTACAAGAAAAAAAAGGTAAAAATATAATTATTGGTTTAAATAATATTTAAAAATAATAAAGAAAAATAAAAATGTGTGTCTATATAATTATAAATTTATATATACAATAAAATAATTTTTATTACTAGGAACAATTTTTAAAGTAACACTTTTAAATTAAAATTTATTTTGAATATATATATAATATTTATTATCATAATATTTTAAATATTTACGTTTAAATTAATAAAATAATATTTTATTAAAAATTAATGTACTCTGACAAATTAAAATTATATATGTACAAAAATAAATAATATTTATTGAATAGAGAATAACTTTATAGAAAAATATTTTTATTACATTTTTTAATTTTTTTAGGTGAAATACATACAAGAAGCAAAACATTACAGACAATCGAGTCAAATTAATTAATACATGTTAAAATTAATTATTATATAATATATATTATTAAAATTTATAAATCAACATAAATATATAAAATTAATTATGTATATAGTATATTCAGTTTTTAACGATATTCCACGTTTTATGTTGTAAAAATCTTAATTATCCTATTTCAATGATTTTAATATATTTTGTTATATTATTCATTAAATTTAAATTTAATAAATTTAAATCTATTTTATTATTTATCATAATAAAAAAATAAATTTATAATAAGGATTAAAATTAATAAACAAATTATTTATTTATTTCACCTTAAAAAAATGTTATAATTTTTTATTATTTTGGCTTCTTACATTTTGGCTTTTAATATTTTATATTTTAAAATTAATAAACAAAACTTAATCAAATAAAATAGAAAAAAATGAAGGCAAATTTTATAATTTTTATGTTATAATAATAAAATATTTAAATATAAAAAATAAGAAAAAATAAAAAAACAAATATAAAAATTTAAAAATTAAAATATGAAAGAAGAAAGGATATAAATATAAAAATAAAAAAATAAAAGAAGAAAATATATAAATTAAATATTATGTGAAATGATAAAAGAGTGATATTTTTTTAACATATAAGAGAGGAAAATGTAGTGAATAAAATAAAAAAAATATATTTTTTTATTTAGTTTAAAAAGTAAAAATAATGATTTTTTAAAAATTAAATCATATCAAATAAATAAAAAATTAATTTGGGGATGACAATCCACACCCTTGTGTCAGTCACCTTTGATCATAGTAAACCATAATATATATTTTTTATTAATTTATTTGTCATTTAAACTAGAAAAATATTTTATTTTACTTATTTTTTATATTAATCACTTATAATTTTCCATTTTTTTAAAACAAATAAACCCTCAAAAGATATGTTACATTCCCTAAAAAAACTGTTATATAAAATATAGTATCAAATTTGTTTATTTGAAAAAAATGATATTATTTTTTTGTATTATTAAATTGTCTAATAAAAAAATATAAACCTAACTTATCTTTCATAGAAACATATAAATGAATTTTTAATTATAATAAATAAGTTTTTAAGAAGCTCTTCATATTAGGCACTTGTCTCAAGACAAGGACATACACAATTGTCTACTACATGAGTAATAATTAATAAACAAACTAATTAAAATTCATACATTTATTTCAAACATTATTTTTTTTCTCATATATTTTTCCTCCTTTGCATATGTAAAAGTCATCCAATAAAAATGGAGTACACATATAAATAATTACTCTATAAATGTTGTCCACATCAATGTTTATCGAAGAATCACTAAATTTTTGTTTCAATTTAATTAATAATTTTGGATTATAAAATATAAAAAATAGGCATTATTCACATTAATGATATTTGCATAGCATAGGAAATAGCTGCTGCAGAATGGACAGATCATGTACATACATGCATGAGAAATATAGCAGTAATGAATGAAATAGACTCTCTTTCTGGCAAATGCATTGAGATGAATATGGTGTCACCAATGACCCATTAAAGAAGGTGAGGGCATGTAAAGATAAGACCAAGAATCTTGTGATAAGTGTATGAGGAAATGAATCATCAAATAAAGGTTCCACTTCCTCACAAGTACCTGTCTCTTCACACGTGTCAATGTGTTTTCCTTTGTTCTGTTATCCCTTCCCACGTGCCATATTAAATGGGTAGGTACTTTTTTCAATGAAACGGATTTCCAGTTATGATTAATAAGATAGAGAATCACGTTTCGTCAGAGGTACGGTTTATTCTTTGTTTGTTTCTAATATATGTTGCAATAACTTTTTCCTTTTTGTTTTTTCTATCGAGGTTATAAATATTTTTTTCAAGCAATGCAAACAGTGATTATTTCTGTTTCATGTTTATACCATCATCTAATTTATATCATAATACAAAATAGCAATGTTAGAAATTAAATAGAAGAAAACCCAAATTTAAAGTGAGATTGGATCAAATCGATGCGGGTGTATCAATATGAAAGTTTTAGAATCACTTGACTCCAGGACCAAATCAATAGTGATGAAGTATTTTGACAAAAAATTGTGGTCTTAAGTTCATGACATGTGACGGTGGACCCATTCGTGTAGAGTTTGTGTTAGTGCTTCTAATGTTACTGTTCCCTCTTCAATAAAAAAAACTATTGAAGCAAAATTCGTCACAAAATTTTGCTTCAACTTCAAAAAAACATTAAAATGTCTCAACAACATATGATGTTTTATTAATTAATTTAAAATGTTTGTGAAACGCCAGGGACAACCGTCCATGTCCTGATTCATATACTCGTTTTCAACGCTCATAGAGAAGATACCACTAAGTTGTTACCTTATCCATTTCACATCATTAAGAAAAATGTTCATATATTTTAACTCAAATGCTTGTATAAGTCATGTGTTAATAATTATACTAATATCTTCATATTTTTAAATAGGTAAAATCTATTTCTTTGGAATTTTTGTGTACTCAACCAAATTACACGTCTCGTGGAGGACGCGGTTCATCTTTTGAGCCAAATTTGACCTTTTATTCGTTGTAAAACATGGTCCCTTATTCGTCCTTATCTTTTTTAACATAATTTTACAGAGAAAACAATTTTAAATTAGGAACGTGAACTTTTTTTCCCCAGAATAAACCATGCTTTTTAATTTGTTAACGTGTCTTTTCTTAAATCCTTGTTTGGTATTTCCCCTGTTTTCAACCTCGTGAATTTCTACACTCAAAATTTCTCTATCCGAGTGATAATTAGTTAGATAAGTAATCAGTGTGATAATCTTATCATATCGTTAGTTAGGATTTTTGCCTAATTCACATCTCATAAATAGATTAGAGAACTTGACAATAAAGATTCCAAAGCATACTCACAAGCCTAATTGAGATCCAACCCAAACATAAATCAAGAAGAGTTAAACTTCGTTATTATACACTTTTTTATTTTAGAAAAGGTATAAAGTTTTGATGAGCATCAAATGTCAAGTTGAATGAAGATTATTTATATGCAAACTTATAAAGTTGTAATTTTTATGGTATGTATCAAATCAATTGCGATAAATTCAAAAATAAGATTTAAAAAAATAATAGCCATCTATTTTTTTTTTTCCTTTTCAATATTAGTTGATTACTATCTGTCTATTATCATTTATTTTGCTTAGCTAAGCTATCGACAAGTTTGACTATGGAAATTACAGGAATTCCCTGGTGTAAGCTACCAATATAAATGTTTTATTGAAAAAAAAAATCTTAATAGAAAAGAAATCTTTGTGGTCAAACAAAAACCAAAGAAATTCGCACTGTAAACGGCCAAGACTTTAGCAAATAGAATACTCGTCTTCTTTTCTCTCCCTCTCATTTTATAAATGTATGCTGCTAGCTTTCTGACTTCACACCAACATAGACAGACACATAGCGTCCCTTTCTCATTACCAAACTCTTCACTCTGTTTTTCTGTTTCTGCTTCTTTTTCGTAAGTACCCAACTCTACAAATTCTACCTTTTCTCCTTTTCTTTCTTACCCTTTTATCATTCTTCACGGATTGTTGATTCCTGACGCTTCTCCTAAACTGGGTTACCAAAAAGTTTGTCTTTTCCACGCAATCTTCTACTTTCAAACCTTTTTTCTCACAGCATTTATCCTGTTTTCGAACTCTCTGATTTTCTGTTTCGGGGCTGTTTCTAAAACACGCAAATCTATTTTTGTCTTTCTTACGTTTACAATTTTCTTATAAAGGGTAATAGGTTGGTGACATTTTTTCTCGCAACTGCGTCCTCAAACCGCGCATATTTCTCCGTCTTTTTGTGCATGCAGGAAAGCACTTACTCAAACTCTGTTTCAGCTTCCTCTGTTTTTCGGCACGAACAGAGTTGTTTCGTTTTCTCGAGGATGGCCATAAAGACAATTGAACTGTTGAAAGGGTGCGGATCGCAGGAAGAGATGATGGAAGTTCTTGCTTCGGTGGCTTCGGATTTAGGCGATATGATCGATGATGTGAACACCTTGCAGGTGATTCCACTGAAGGGCGCAATGACCAATGAGGTTTTTCAGGTAAACTGGCCTACCAAAAATGGTGGTGAAGTCAGAAAGGTTCTGGTTCGCTTATATGGGGATGGAGTTGAAGTTTTCTTCGATAGGGAAGAAGAAGTGAAAACCTTTGAGTGCATGTCAAAGCATGGTCAGGGTCCACGCCTTCTTGGCCGATTCACCTCTGGTAGAGTTGAGGAGTTCATTCATGCCAGAGTATGTTCTTATCTTGCTTGTTTCTTTGTATTTCTTTTACTTTTAAGAAAAAAACTGACATTATTCTTACGTGTCGGCAAAAAGTTATCTTGCTGACCAGATTATATAATTTCATCCATTTTTCTTTTATTTGCTAAAGTTAATTAGAAATGTTAACAAATATATCATATTTATGATTTTGCTTAATATTGATATAATAACCATTTTTCAAAGGTGTGAACCAGGTAGCTAGATAGATAGCCCAGGACTTCGTACGAAAAATGAAGCATTTATTACATTAAAACCTTTCTATTTTCGTACTCATTAAGATGGGGATTGGGTAAACGGGATAGAAAAGTCAATTACAATTTAATGCATCGATAGATGACTTTGATTGTTATTTATTGTCTTTTTTAATGACGTGAGTGAAAATGAAGTTTTTCACTGAAAGAAATAAAATTAAAAATTGTGGAGTATGAAATTGTGAAACGTTAGGATGACTCAGTCATCCAAATTGGTCGAGTTTCAAAAGTCTTTTTCGCACCGGTCTTGGCTGGTTATTTAAGCAGAATCTCGTGTTCCTCTTTCCGACCGCAACATGAAACAACCTCCCATGACCATAAATTTTAGTGTTTTTTTTGTTTTTTAGTAAATTGGCTCAACCTATGAAACAATAATACTTCTTTGCATAGATATTCTTAACTACTTAATCGTATTGATTATGTAAGTATTTAAACTTCTAAAACTTATGAAATATCAATGTTTTTTTTATTATTTATTTAGTGTATTTGTTTGATGTCAATACTTTTGAATATTTCATCATATAGGAGAAAATGTCATACATTTAAAATATTTATATATAATAAATTACATAAATAATAATTATGTTTAATATACAAATATTATTTCTTCGTAACTCAAATAAGAAATTTGTTTTTTTATGAAATATTAAAAAATAAATTAATAATATTATTTATATAAGAAAATTATTCTAATTAAAAACATTTTATGTAATTTATAATAATATTATTAAAATAAATTATCATGACTAATTCATGTTTCATCTTTGTAAGATATTTCAGTATACAAAAAGAACAAAATATATATAAACTATTATAATTTCGACTCTTAAATCATAAGTGATTCATAAATGTATCAAATAAAAAATCATACCAAAAAATTTATGATAAAAATAATTTATAATTTCTTTATTTCTAAAAAATAAAATTTCAATTTAGATATATAAAATTATATCTATTATGTTTTATGAATTTTTATAATATATACTTTGCCGTTACTATATTTTTCTTATTTAGAATAATTGTAACCCTTTCCGATAATTGGTTTCAACGATTATTTGAATTGATGCTTGATCTTCAGATAGTACATGCTGCTGAGTTTGAAAGTGAATAAGCTTTTTGTTCTCCGCTTTACTCTCTTTTTTTCTGTAGTCAAAAAGCTCTTCTTTGGTTTGATATGCTATCTTTTTCGTGTTTTATTCCCATTACTCTTGCAGTAGTGGAGCGCTACCAATACTATTACTGGCTTAGGATTAATAATTAATTAATCAAGAAGCATCTTTTAGAAATTCAATTGAATGGTGTTGATTCATGGGATCTGGTGCTCTTGGGTGCTTCCTTTACCATTCTTTTTAACCTTACTCATTTCCTAAATGTTTACTAGAAATGGAGAAACAAATCAAAGCATTGATGTTATATAATCGGAATAAGCATCTGGATTTTTGTATGCGTACATGGAAATATCTACTTGAGAGGTCTTCAATGACTTCAAAATTATGTAATTTAGTAGTTGCCAACATATTGTTTGTCACCTTTGCATCAGAAACTTCTGGAGGTAAGTTTAAGCATATTTTTAGTTTGATACGTAATTTCTAACACGCCCAACTATATCATCAACGTGAACCTTGCGATATCTTATACAGGACTTTGAAAATCAGTCCATAGACACTGAATATGAAATTAAAGACCTTTTTTATTTAAACCAGGATGAGGCTCTTGAACTGCACAGATGAATAACTTCTGGGTGGAACATCTTATTTTATGTTACCAAAATAGACACTACTATCCTCCACTTCTCTGCATTAACAGTACCATTCAGAGAGTTAATCATGTCTATCCATTCAAGCCTGTCTTTTTATGAAGGGGATATGTTAAATAAAACTTAATCTTGACAACCTAAGTACTAAGTTCCAAAGGTGAATAAAATAATTCAAATTTATTAGAATTATGTATTATCCATCATAACTTGGTAGGTCTCACATAACAACGATGCACTGTGGTATTCCTCTAGGACTGAGTTCATCTATTCAACTGACTTTTATCTACTGTTGATGTCACTTCATGCATACAGTGGAGACAAAACAATTGAACAAGTCATGATGATGAATTATACATGAAGTGTTATTCATGTTCCTAGTATAATGACTGTGTATAACTTCTTTTTTTCTTTCTTTTTATAGACTCTCTCAGCTGCTGACCTCCGTGACCCTGAAGTATCTGCTTTGATAGCATCCAAGATGCGAGAGTTCCATAATCTTCATATGCCTGGTGCACAGAAGGCTCAGCTTTGGCACAGATTGAGGTAATTATTGGTCCGATCAATCTTAAAAACCTTTTTCATTGCTATGCTGAATATTAAATACGGTCTCTTGGACTATTTACTAGGAAGTGGCTTTGTCAAGCCAAGAGTCTGTGCTCCCCTAAAGATACACAAAATTTTGGCTTGGACAAACTGGATGAGGAAATAAACATTCTGGAGAAGAAGTTATCTGAAGGATATGAAGAGATTGGTTTTTGTCACAATGATCTACAATATGGTAACATAATGATGGATGAGGACACAAGATTAATCACTATAATTGTAAGTTGTGGTCATATATTCTTTGCCTCTGGTATTTGTCGTGTCCTTAATTTTTCTTTTATTGTAACAATTTGAATGCTAAGTTCATCAAAATTTGTGCATGATATATAATACGACTTAAGAACACTTTCTGTATCAATGTAGGGACATAGGAGGATAATACCACATTTACAGGCTCTTTTCATATTTTATCAGTCATATAAAATATTACTGTAAACTTTGAATTGTAATTTCTTTTATTACACAGGACTATGAATATGCGAGTTATAATCCAATTGCATATGATCTGGCAAATCATTTCTGTGAAATGGCGGCTGATTACCACAGTGACACACCTCATGTTCTTGACTACAAGAAATATCCAGGTAAAGTTCTTGTTCGTGCTATCTTTGCTGCTCAAATTACTTTTCCACAATGATTAATATTAGTTGCAAATTTATGTTTACTGAGTTCACTCTGAATTGCTGACATACCAAATATGATAAACCAGGACTAGAGGAACGTCAAAGATTCATCCGCATTTATCTGAGTTCTGAAGGTTAGTCCACTAACCTGACTACTCCATTACTACATATGATCTTCAAAAATCTGAATGTAGGTAATTGCTATATATTAATCTATTCCCAGCCGATTAAAACCCAATGAATAATTATAACTCTCTAACTTCACAGAGTTTAAATTACTGATTAACCGGTCTTTGCTTACATGGAGATCGCATTCATTAGTTTAATTTATGCTTAGCTTAGTGTATTAGCTTATTTTATCTAAGCTGATGAACTCTTCAATGTATGTATGAATGTGATTTCTCCTTCGGCCTTCAACATGCTTTGTCAAAAATCATGTTATAGAAGTTGAAATCATATCATGAAAGCTACCTTCTGAATCTTACACATGTCTCAAATTTACTTGGGCAACTCCTTATACACAGGCAAGAAACCAAGCAATGCTAAAGTGAACCAGTTAGTGAAAGCCACTGAAAACTACACTCTTGCAAACCATTTATTTTGGGGTTTGTGGGGACTTATTTCTGTAAGTTTTTACTTATTTTGAATTCCATAAACAAGTTTGTGCCTACTATGAAGGTTATAGTATATATAAATACTAATATAGATGTTATGCATGGACATGCAGAGTTATGTCAATAAAATTGACTTTGACTACAAGGAGTATGCAAGACAGAGGTTTCAGCAATACTGGTTAAGTAAGGCTACTATATTGGACTCACCAACCATCGTTTCCCAAGACGACACTGTGAATGGATCTCTGCCATCTTTCACGTGACTTTGCTTCAGATGTCTTACTGAAGTTTTTTGTCCTAGTATTATAGTATAGTATATACATATATAGAATATATATATATATATATAACACCTAAGATATGATATGCAGCATATGCAAATTTGTTTAATCACTAAGCATGTGTGATGTTTATCAATCCCTCTCTCTTGGGGTTGAGTTGAGGGAAATGCATTTTATGAGTGATTTGCAATAACGATGGGATTTTCATATAGAGAACAGATAGATTTTCTTCTCATCTTTCACATTAATTGAGGTTATCATCTGAAATTAGTCACTCTGACTTCACTTACTTAATCGTGCATGCAATATTCATATCTACCTCTTGTATTCGTTAAATTTAATTTGAATAGTACCTGAAATTGTTACTATCCTCTCTCTCAAATATTAAAACTATAATCCACCTGCTTTGAAGTGTTTCAAAATAAATATGAATTTTTAAATTTGACTATATATACATTTTTTTTCCATTTTATAATTATTACTGTTCACCTTGACATCGTTAAGCCTGAAAAAAAATTAAGAAAAATCATTAATAAATAATTGCTTGATTTTTATATTAGAATATTTTTTTCAAATTTAAACTAGGCTACGCATTCGCTCTTATTCGTAAAATATCATATACTTTAACATTTACTATTAATTTTAATTAACCAAATTCATTTATGTGAAAAACATTTATGTTACTGTTTTTTTCTCTTCTAATTTTGTTTCATGTATGTGTTTGGTTTGTTTCGTGATGAGTAATAAGTGACTTGAGAGAGAACTTGTTTTGATACGGATTGATTAATCATCGTCTTCCTCAGTTATGTTATCAGTCTTATTTAAAAATTGACCGTAAAAGATAATTTATATACAATTTTTTGTTTTAATTCACATTTAAGAAAAAATTATAACGGATAAAAGTTTTAAAATAAATAATATTAAAATTAATTTTAATAATATTATCATAAACTGAGATATTTTTGTTCATAATACAGAATATTCCACGATATGAATTCTTTCCTTCAAGCACTTTTTTACTTTGTTTTTTTTTTAATTTCTCTCCGCGGTACTTATTTGTTATTGGTGTCTCACTAATATTTAATTTTGGATGGAATTATTGGACTGCATTTTCAAACAATTTCCCTACTCTTGAACAACAACTATGTTTCATTAAAAAAAGAAAATATTTTGTACTATTATAAAATTGTTGTGAACTAGGTGATAAAAGTATTTTGTAACATTGATATATACATAAACTTAAGTGGTTATGTTTACACAATTAATTTTTTGAAAAAGAAAAGAAAATTATTCATAAATTAAAATTAATTTATACATTAATTTGCAAAATATTTTTATGCACAAGTTGATTTTAATTTATAAAAAAAATTTGCTTTTTAATTATTTTCTTTTAAATAAAACAATTTCTGTAGTGATGAATGGAACTTCCCTATATTATGGATAGCCAGGGTTGATGAAATTAATATCTCTAATCATGAAAAGAAATCTTTTAATATTTATTTTTATGTGTAGAAAATCTATATTTCTTCAGATAAACTTTTGCAAATTTTGATGGAAGTTCGTTTACTTAATATTTATGAAGAAAGTTTAAATTAATCCGCAGGTATCTGAACTGTTTAGCAAATTTTAATTAGGATCCTAAACCTTTTTTTTTTTTTTTTTTAATTGGGCTTTAAACAACATATTTGTTTTTTAATATAATCTTTCAGTTAATAATATTTGTGAAAAAATGAATGCAAGATTTCATGACACACAAAGATCCATTTTACTACAATAATTGGAAGAAGGAAGCAAGAAAAAACAAAAAGAAAAGAAAAGAATCAATCTTTCACACACTCTATCATACATGTTATTAACTTCAACAGGTGCACAAATAATAGGAAAACAAATCATGGTTTAGTTAGCTCTTTCAGAACATTCATTTGACAAGACAAGCTTCCATGACAACACAAAGTGAAACAAACCATTACCATACACTCTTAAATTCACATATTGGATCATTACTGAGTCCCCCCACGCTTTATTAGTTAATTATTATCATACAAGAAAATCAAACTGAGAAGTAACAAGCTAGATACATGAGTTGTGTGGCGGGGTGGAGAAAAAACAGTGCCGTTGTTGTTACCAAACTACCGACGGAAACTCCTAACCTGTCGCGGTGGTTCAGCCTCGTTCTCACGCAGCTTGACGAGTGTGTAAACCCCGGCACCGGCGAGAGCACCCAGCGTCGGAGCCACCAAATAGATCCATATGTGCTTGTAATTTCCTGCTGCAACGGCTGGCCCTAACGTACGCACCGGATTCATCGAACCACCACTCGTTGGCCTAATCAACATCTCATGTCAATCATTTCATAATGTTGTTTATAATTCTTAATCTTTAAACGTGAGAAGATGTTAATTAAATGCATGCTTACCCTGATATGAGAATGTTGAGCAAAACTGTAGCCCCAACAGCAATGCCAGCCAATTCACCAACCTGCACAGAACCACCAAATCCATGTTTAAACAAAGGAACCTGACAAGAAGGTGAATTGAATGATGAAGGATTGAAGGGAAGAAACGAAAGAACCCACCGCACGAGTGTCAGTGGCAACAGCAGTGACGACAAACAAGAGATTGAAAGTGATGATGAACTCAGTTGCAAAGGCCTGGCCAACGCTGACAGAAGGGACAGTGACCCCACCGGAGAGGAAAGGGTGGTAAACACCTTTGAGAGCGAAACAGGCACAGATGGAGGCAGAGACTTGGGCTGCTATGTAGGCAGGGACATGGGTCCAAGGGAAGTGGCGGAAGGCTGCGAAGGCAATGGTGAGGGATGGGTTGAGATGTGCACCTGAAATGTGGCCAATGGAGAGGATAACGAACATCACTGTTAACCCTGCACATGCTGCATTTCCCATCAGAGTCTCCACTCCATTGTACTTGTTGTTCACTATTGGCCCCGCCGTTGCTGCAAATATCAATATGAAAGTCCCCACAAACTCTGCTCCAACCTTCGTTACAAAACAACCTTGTTTAGTACCCAACTTCCTATTTTTCACAGATTTAATTCCAAGGTTTTACTTTTTTAATCTAAAGCCATTCATTCATTCACACCATGCATCGGAGTGTTCCTCACTCCCCTAAACACACAAGCACATGGTCAACTCCTCACGTAAGAGTTAATCCAATTCACATGTAATATATTAGTTGAAATCTTACAAAGTAATGTCTTTTTTCTCCTTGTGTTATTGTTACGAAGTATTTAAAATAAAGATTTGTGATTACATTTTTAAACCAGCAATGGAAGTGTTTTAAATTTCATTCTATTTTCTAAAACTCTAAAATCAACCGTAAAATGCTCAAAAGTAGCTATTACTAACAATATTCACCATCTTTGAAAGGGGTTTAATAAAACTTTATATATATAATTTACTATGTAAAGCAAAATCAATTATTTTGACCAAAATTATCTAAAAAAAATAAAATAAAATAATTATGATTGTAATAAATTATAACCATAATATATAATAATTGTTGAAGTAATATAGCTTTCACAATTGTTTTAATCATCTCCTAAATATAATTTATTTTAATCTTTTTTCTTACCGCACACTCATAATATTCTTTTAAGAAAGATAAATATATTTTTTAAAATAAAAAAGAAAAAGAAGTGCTTCCTCCAACCCAAACTGATTGCAATTTAATGTTCTTTCATACATTTTTTTAGATGACAGTAAATATATCAAATTTGTAAACAATCTTACTAAAATAGCATTACTCTCTTTTAATAAATACATAATTTTGACCGAGATACAGAGTATAATTGATTTAAGGGTAAATAAAAAATAATAATAATGCAAAGAACAGATCAATCAATCTGTATTTTGTTAAATAACTAAATCTGCAGTCAAACAATTTCCAGGAAAAGAAGAAAAGTAAATTGTTCTACAAAAAATGAAACGAAAATATCAAAGTGATGAAAATGGAAATAAACACCTTCTTGATTATCATGGTAATGTTTTCTAGAAAAAAGAAAAAAAAATTACATATAAATTTTGTTTGTTATTTAACTTTGTTTTAGTTGTAACAAATTTCACAACAACTACTTGATTTATTGTGTTTTAAAATTCTTGTGGTTAACAAATTTTAACTATAACTATTTAATTATTATTATCTTATTTCATTTAGTGCACTATCACGATGTAACAGTTTAATAAAGCATTTTTTTTTTAGAAAAAGATATTTATAAAGCAATAAATATTTGAAATAAAGTAAACTTTAAATAGACATTATATATTTCAAATGTAAGAGAAGTTAAAGTTGTGAGAAACAAAAATATCATTTTTTTTTCATGAGTAGTAAAACTAAAATGAATTTCAACCTATCACTAGATTTGGTGAAATAAGAGATCTAAATTCAATAATGATGGTAGGCATCAAAGTCAAAGAGTAGGAAATTTGAGCACAGACACTTGAACGTGTATCAAAAGGTCAAAGAAAAGGGACACCATGAAAGGAATTAAAGAAAATAAAAGCTACGTAGTGAACAGCCGTACATAAACATCAACTATGAGAGGAAAGCAATGAAGAAAAGAGAGGGAGTGGTATTAGCAAGGATTGAAAAATCCTGACTCAAAAAGTTGAATTAACCCAGAAAGATTAGGTATTAGTCGAGGGGAAAGGTTCTTGAGGTGATGCTTCTACCACCTAAGAGAACTCAGTTTTCATCGCTCCGTTTATCGGAAAAAATAAAAAAATCATATTTAAGATATGAAAGATTAATTTATGAAATTTCAAGGAGCCAAAGTAATGTTTTGATTTTCTTGAAAAAGTAACTCCAAAAACATTTAAATACGTTATAAATTTATTTTATGGGAATCCCTTACAAACATTTTCTAAGCAAAAAAAAGTGTTTTATTAAAATTAAAAAATCTAATTAATTTATAACTTTTGTAAACACTACAATTACAATTATTTTAAAACAAAGAAAATATAACAAAAGCCATCAATGATATGAAACTATATCCAAAGACAAGTGCTAGAATAATCGATAAAAAAATTATATTTTTATTAAAATATAACAAATACATGTGTTATATAGTTGTTTAATACGATTTTTATATGTAAAAAAATCATTTTAATTCTTTAACCCATATGCTAAAGCCGAATTTAGCGGAAATAGAATAATAAGGCACAGCCTGCATGTACGCAATGTGCATGATATGAACGGTAACACTCGCCGTCAATTTCGTATAACTGGAAAAAAATACGTATATTTTACGTATAACGTAAGTTCCATTTCCTTGTATCTCTACTGTGCTAACAATACAATTTTTACTTATTCTTTATAATAATCTTTTCTATTAGCATTTATCAAAACTTAAAAATTTAAGAAAGTTATTAAATACTACAATCAGGTGAGGTTTTTATTGATTTTTGTAAGCAATTTCTTCACGCAATTTCTTCACGCGATTTCTCAACCGTGTCATCAACATTATAATAATCCATTCGAGGCATGACATGACGAATTTGTATGAAAAATAGACATAGGGAAAACAAAAGATAACCAAGTAGTACTCTTATTTTTCCTATTTTTGTTTATCAGACTTAAATTAACACTAAATGTATATTTATTCTTAATTAACGTTTATCAGATGAAACGCTTAACATTAGAAAAATTATACGGACAATTACTAAAAGGTTAACAAAAATTACACAGAGAAGTAGTTTTTCTTCGTGTTGATCAATGATTAGGTATTTAGATTTTGTAAATGAGAGTGAAAATAAAATAAAAGGCACTATGAAGCGTTGACCAAAATGGAGAGATAGAAAGGGTTTTGATGGTTACGTTACCTTTTGGGTGAGAGAAACATTGGGCAGTGAAACGCCACCAACGGAGAATTCAGTGAAGCAGGTGTCTCCTTTAGTTGGCAAACACTTGCATCGAGCCTTAGTGAACGAGTCACGCTGATGCGATAGTGAGTCCACTCGCAGCGACGTGAACAGCGGTCCTCCCGGAGTATCTGGCGTCGCCGGCACAGACGCCGCCGTCGGCGTCCCTGTCTCCGATTCCGCCATTTTTTTTTTTTCAAATTTGACAAATATAAGAAAAAGGTAAAATAAGTAGATATTAGTATAGTGGAGACGCACTACATGATTTTGGAAATGCAAGGAGAAAGATAAACGAATTTTTTTGGTGTGTTTTTTTGGGGAGAATTTAAGGTGGAAAGGGAAGAGTTACATAATTGGATGGTTTTTATAAATGTGTTGCTAAGGAATGTTGGGAGGAGAGAGAAGAGCCAGGTTGGGAAAGTTTGAGGCTAGAAGGAAGTGTGGAAATGGAGCATGTGTTTGAGGATGATGATGGAAGTGGGGTGTGATTGGTGTTGTTAAGGTTGGAATAGAATCAGGAAAACTTGTGAGAAAGGGTGTGATGGAAGGTGGAAGATGGTGGTGGGGGAAGAAGAGAGGGAGAAAAGGGAAAAACAAAAGTGTTGGTCAACGAGTGTGTGAGGGGAGAATGGGAATGGAGGGGAAGTCAGGAGTTGTTAGTTAATACAAGAATTATGGATTATAATAATGAAGTGAGAAAGTGGAATGCTATGAATCTCATTATTAAAGTCAAAAGAATTAAAGTCGGCGAGTTGCTTCCATAATGGAAAAAGATTGTTTTCGTTATTAGTAAATTTCTCTTCCTTTCTCTTTTTTTTTTCCTCTTCATTTTTTAAATAATTTAAAAAAATACATTAAATAAATGCTTCAATTGGATCAACTTGGTATAAAGTTTTAGTTTATGCATGATTTTGAGTTCAAATTTAAGTAAACATATATCTTTCTATGAAAAAAAAAACAAAATAGACCTAATTATATAAGTTGACAAAATGGACTAAGGAGTTATATATATTTCGATTTCTCACTTTTGATTTATTAAAAATGAATCGGAACGGATTAGCTTTACATTAATTTTAAGAAAATAATTTCAATATTTAAAACTTATATTCGGTTTTGTACGTAGGGACTTTTGTCAAGGTTCTATAATAATAAAAAATAGCAAAAATCACAAATAATAGAAGTTAAAAATACTATCACGATGGAAAAGTCAAAGGCCTTACATTATTGTTTATTTTACTTCATCTAATGATTCTATAATATATGGTTTTGTATATTATATGTTATATGTAATGATGTTGTTTGTTTTCTTTTCCAGCACATATTAGTTACGTCTTTCTGTACTTTTGATTTCGAAGGATGATTTTGATTAGAAATTAATTTAGAACAAAGTAGGTTTAGCAACTTCAGTTCATCGTTAAAGTTTTGTCTCTAGGAAGTTATTTAAGAGTGCATTTTATTTATCATTTTTAATTCATCAAATATTATATTTCATCTGTTTTTTAGTATTTATTAATTATTAATAAGTATTATTTTTAATAAAAGTATTAATCTTTTTCTAATAATATTATTACCATTTTATTACTTTCTCTATCCAAAATTCATTTTAATAACTTATTTCGAAATAAATTAAAAATAACCAACAATTATAAAAAGAAAACATAAAAAGCATATTTTTGAAAGCTAAAAGTAGTAGAATAACAACTCCATTGTTAGATGAAAATAAATGTCAACGTTTAATCTATTGTAATATAACAACATTCCGAAAACGCTAATTAGAATGTTATGAATAAGTTGCAAGAATTTTTAGAAAACAATAATGATTTTAAAAAGTTTTGTCTATAGAATTTAAAATTTCAAGTTTGAAATGAGTGTTATTTACGCTAATGTAAAGATATTTAATTATTTAAAAATAAGCGACACATTATGTTTGCAACCACGCATGTTAGTGTGGCTTAAGTTTTAATGAATATAATCACTTTAGTGTACAAATTGTCCTAATTGCGTTGAATATTTCTGATTTAATTATGTGGTGTGGCCATTTCAATAAACAATTAATTTAATTCATTACTTTTCCACACTTGATGGCTGCTATTATACTTTAAAATGGATCATTTAGCCTCAATTTGACCTTATTTTAAATGAAATAGGACTTTTAAGTTTAGTTTGATTTATGTAAAGTTAATAAGTGTAGAAAGATATTATATAAAAAATATATTTTTAAGTTATATCAATAAAATTATTTAATTAATTTTTAATATAATGATATATTCAATAATAATTTTTAAAATATAATTATAATTTTATAAAAATGAATAGTTCCATAAGTTCATAAGTTTACCCAACCTAAATGAGAAAAAATAAAAAATAAAAGATCCAAATTAATTCATGTTGCTAATTCTTTTAATAAAAGATCCATAGATAACACCTCTATACACTGAGTAGATAAATCAAAAGGAAATAAAATATGCTTTTTAATATTTATGAAGTAAAGAATAAGCATAAATGACTTTTTATCTACGAAAACAATTTATATCTCTTCATGTAAACTTAAACATGGGAAAAAAAGTTTATTTTTCTATTTTTTGTTACTTATAAAATTAAGAAATTTATATAACTCAAATTTATTGCATTAAAAAAATTATCTTTTTATATTAAACTACTTTTATTTAATATAAAAATGTACACAGTATATTTTTTTATTATATCTAACCATAGAAGAATTTTATTTATTTATTTTAACTTTTATTTTTTGAAACAACAGTTTATTGATCTTTATATATAATTTGTTATGATTCCTCGTCCACAGAAAGTGAAAGTAACTTTATTTTTTAGCAGCTCTGTATTGCAACATTCCCCAGCAGCCTCACATTTTTTAAATGTTTGGTCGACGTAATAGAAAATGGGAGAATAAAAAAAAGAAGAAAATTTAGAGTAAAACTGAGTAAAATAAATTTTAAAATTTGAAAAAGAATAAAAATATCGGAAAGTGAGATAAGAATTATTTGTTAATTAATTATAATTGTGCTCTCTCTTCTAATCCTGAAGGTCAAAGCCGTACAATTTTTAAAAATATAAAACATGATATCAACTAAAAAGTAATCTATATTATCATCACCAGAACCTCCAACATTCATGTCACGTCTTGTTCAGTTACGATTTGTTTTTTTTTCTTTCTTTCAATTCATTTTTTTTAATTCAAAAACCTCACAACTATACCAAAGAACAATAATACTCAATATTCTAATAAAAATAATATTTTTCCAAATAATGCAGCAAGCGTGTTAGAAAACCCTCTTGACTTCTCCACAATTGTTTTAAAAATAAATTTCACGTCCACTTTTGTCAATCGTTAATATTGCTCTTTTGTTTCAACATTGTTTTTTGTTTAACACACATGAAATTGATATAATAAATATAAATAAATAGCATACAGAACATAATCGCTTTTATTCCATTGCAAGTTAATGTAATACATCGTATTATTTTTGTTAAATAAATGCTGATGTATTGATAATGTTATATCGGGGTAATTAGAGATTAATGTGGGTACTTACAATGTAATTAAGACGACCACACACACACACACACATGTATTGTATATGAAAGCATTTAAATTAAAAATGAATGGTTGATGGTTGGGTTAGGGCAACAGCTGTTGGAAAAATGCAGGTTGACTTGATGATTGGAGTAATACTGAGAAGAAATATATAGTTGTGGTATGGTGTGGGTCAGCACTGCGGAACCATAAGCCATAAATAGGGTTCATTTTTTGTGCAATTGGATGAAATAATAATGATGATGGTCATTAGTCACCCTTAGTGTGCGCAACTTGCCACCACGTTCCGATCCAAGTTATGACCTCCATCATCTTTTGCATTCCAAGAATTGTTCTGCACAGGAAGGGATTGGGAATATACATTATTCTATACTATAAGTATGGGAAGAACTATACCATAAAAATATCTATCTTACAAGAATAGCTTTTTATTCAACTGAAGATAAACTGTTTGATAAAATGTTAGTGCCCCACCTCCACTACATTGAACATGTTATTGAACTCAAATGGTAAACTAAAAAGCAACTGGTTTAGGTTTCAACTTAAAATAACATTAGACCCTAAGACGAGCATGTGGAGACATGAATTCCAAATTTGTTCGTCGCATGATTCCAACAATTAGAACACACAGCCTAATGATTTCGTGTAAGCGAGTTTTGTGGCCAGCTATTCGCCAATTCTTATTCTTTTCATGATTGGTTTTGCATCAATCAATTATTGTTTCAATTCATACAAAAATAGCAATTTCTTACCTTACTCTTTTAAAACATAATTGTGTTCTATATAAAAGAAAAAAACTAACAATGTAAAGCAACCCAGAATAGCGTAACCAGAGTTGTAGCTGCATAAAGAAGTGGGGTCTAGCTGCACTTTCACTTGCCATCCTCAGAACTCAAGTGACGAGTAAAATGAGGTACTTTTGCTGCAGAAAGTGTAGAACATGGTTGTCCAAAGTGTTTCTGCACTTACTAAGTGGGAAACTAATTTCCATACAATTAGGCACTGAATAGGCTCTTCTCAAAATGATGGATGTTTTATAATACATTGCCATTTCCATAAAAATAGCCGGGTATAATATTCTGTGTGGGATGAAACTTTGCATATTTCAAGGAACATTACAAATTTAACTAAAGATTCATGAAAAGATCTAGAGAACATTTACATAAGAGATCAAAAAAATAAATAAATTTTTGTGTTAAATTATTGTATAAGTAAAACATTTTTAAATTATATATTTTCTACTTTAAATATTACAATTTATATATACACTGTTTTAAGAATTGTGGGGAGGAAGCTGGGACCACCTTATCCCCTTGTTTGAAGTGTTCTTCATCATGTTTAGATTATTAAAATATGGAATTGACTTTGTTTCTTATCAGGTTAAAAAAATTAAAAAAATAATTTTTTTAATTTAAAAATAAATCATACATTCTAAATGGCCTGAGTAAAATTACTTTCATTTTGTTTAAGATTTCGATCAAAAGTGTTTTGAAACATAGATCTATAAGTTGATGATGATAATAAATATAAATATAATTTTAAGTCTCATATTATATAAGAATGAGAAAGTTGAACATAATATAATGAAATATAATTTATAATTTAATGTTTTATGATTTTTGGTTGAGAGTGGTGTCAATCTATATAGGTTGGACATGTTCATTGACACTACAAAAATAAACTATTATCTACGAGATAAAAATCGTAGGTAAATTTTACATTACCTACGAAATTCTATCAGGTAGGTAAATTATATTAAACTAAAAGAATTGTCACTAACAAGAATTGAACCCGATACTTTAAAGTTGAAAACTAATACTCCAACCATTAAGCTATTAGGATATTCTAATAATAATTTACAAATAAATTATAGTTATATTTATTCGTAAATATATAAATATATAAATATATAAATATATAAATATATAAATATATAAATATATAAATATATAAATATATAAATATATAAATATATAAATATATAAATATATAAATATATAAATATATAAATATATAAATATATAAATATATAAATATATAAATATATAAATACATAAATATATAAATACATAAATACATAAATATAAATATAATTTATTTGTAAGTTATTATCAAAATATCCTAATAGCTTAGTGGTTGGAGTATCGTCTCCAACTACGAGTGCTTGGGTTCAAATCTTGCTAATGACAATTTCTATAATCTAATAATAATTCAAAATTTTAAAAATATAATAAATAATAAAAATATAATATAAAGGGGAGGGTCCTAGGTAATAATAAAAAATAAGTTGTAGTAAATAAAAATATATTATTATTATTATTATTATTCAATGCTAGTGTATCCATATTTTTATTAAGTAATAAAAAATGATTGTCATAAAAAGACAAATAATGAGAAATAAAATGTAAAGTTTTAAAAAGAGTTATAAGTAGAAAATTTCAAATTTCAAATTTTATTATTATAAAATCATTATTTCTTTATAAGTTTTTTTTCTCTTTCTAAATTTCTGGCTCCCTCTCTTATTATTTTTTAAATTTAAGCACGTCTTAATACTCATAAAATAAATGATATCATTTTTATTCGATCAAAATTTTAAATAGAATAAGTTTTTCTTTGTTCATTTTAGAGCATTTATACATAAATTTGAAAAGTTTACATGCAGGACCTAGGATGCATGCATGTAGGTTTTTTTGGAAAGAAAATAAAAATCTTGACTAGCTTAAGAATATTATGATATATTTATTTTATAATTAGAGTTTTCTATGAGCAGGATTTGACTTCCCATAAGATTTAATATTTTTGGAATAAAAGATTGAGAAATTGAGGTAAGGGAAACTAATACTAAATTTTGTAACACTCCGAGTATAGGTGATCCAAATTGTGATAGTGAATTAGTCACATTGTCTTATTTGCAAAAAGTTAATTATAAATTGATATTATTGGTACTTGTATGTGATTGAATGAGTTAAATTATATTTATTACGAGAAAAAAATGTGTATGGAATATTATAGTAGAATAACAATATTTGGATTATATATTACATGATCTATAAGAAATGATGTAATAAAGTCTCAAAGATAGTGATTAATGCAGAGAAACTAGTTTAAGGTCTATTTTCAAAATTTGTTATCTACATATTTCGCTCAAGCGACAATTGATCGTGCAAGTGAAATGTGCAGGGGAGGAAATTATTCCTCTCTATTGTATTTTTGCTCAAACGAAAAATATTCTCAATGGATGAGGTTTGTTTCGGATGCATTTTCACTCAAGCAAAATTTCCTAAACAATTTTTTATCCAAACTTTAAAAATCATAAAAAATAGTTTTGAACTTCAAATTTAACTTTCATATATAACTCTAGAAATAATGAAATAAGAATTAATAAAAAAATGATATTTGTAGAAAAAGTTATGGTAAAAATAATAGGTAAAGTTCAAATTAGAAAAAATACATTTTGTTTGTAAATGTGATAAATGGTATGTATATAACTTAGAATGTTAGAACACATGTAATGAGCATGAAATGAGAAGCGTTAAGGGCTATTATATACATAAAAAAATATTTTGTTGTAATGTTAAAACTACCATGAGATATCTATATATGTACATCATATTTGTGATGAATTATAAGATGTTGTGGTGGTGTTTTGTATGTTCTTGATACTAAGATATATTTATTAAGGCTTAGTCGAACCAGGAGAATAACTTATAATTAACTAAGATATATTTATGTATGTGAGGTTAAGTCGAGCCTAGGATGTGATTCAAAATCAACTAAAATGTGTGTGATTATAGGTATCTGGTATGTAATGAAGTGTGTAAGAATATTGAATTGAGATTCTGAATGAGATTATCCTGACTGTATTGGTCACTAGAATCACATAAATGAAAGAATTAAGTATTGTGTTGATTGTTGTAGTTTTTACGTTATATTATTGTGTTGATTTTTTTTCTCTTATTTCTCAATTAATAGAATAATTTTTGAGAATAAATGATAATGTTTTTTATGACGTTTTTTACCATTCTATGCATTCTGCATATGTATAACCTGAATGCATGTTGCAATTACAATCATCTCCACAAAACTAAATCTGGAAAATACCTGCCATTGATCTTACACATATTTGCATTCTGTTTATTGTTATAAACATACAGAAATGTCCCACTAAAGGTCTTTACATACAATGCAAATCACACTGCAGCAATCTATTTTTTCAATGCAATGACTGAAATGAAGTTTGTACTTAGACTTTATGCAAACTAATCCAAACCCTCACTGTTATGCTGACCCATGTAAATTGGACATACCCAATTGATCAACAAGCTTTACATTTTATTCATCATATACTTGCAAAAATCATTCAACTGTTTTCTCTAAAATATTATGTAAAAATAAAATGAAAATGAAAAATTCAGTATGAAGTTGCAATAGCTACCGTTTTGTCCTTCAAATTCTATAAAAACTTCAGAACTCATACAATGGCCCTGCACCAGAAAGTAGAGATTATGGAGATATGTTAGAACTAGTATTTTATAGATTTTCAATATTTTCAAGTTAATAAATATGAAGCCTAGACAAAAAAATAGTTGTTGCAATCTCATAGTTCATTCAAATTTCAGGCAAGCAATGTAAGAACCCTGTCTGTAGTTATTTGGCTAAATTTCAAGTGTACCTAAATTTGCCATGACTTCTTCATTTTCAATCTCTGCATCAGTGAAAGTCAGGGCTTTCTGCAGCTTCCTTGGAGAGAACACCTCAACCTCTGCCATGTATGTGGCAGTCACTGGTCTGTGGTCTGAAAATTTGAGTTCAGTCCTTCCATATCTGAGTAATCTCATTCCCATGCCATATGAAAGAATACGATCACACCTGAAAGTAATTGTACAAAGCAAAATCATTATACAAAGAAACATTTTGCCAACAAAGTGTGGTAAAGAGATTGATCAATACACCATAGTAAATACTTCTCTAATAAGTTTAGAAGCACATGTTAAAAAGTATAGTGCTTATGCACAGAAAGTGTAACATATGAAAATGGTTATACACTGTATAATTTTTTTTCTCTACCATAAAATGACTTTTTGTGTTTCTGATATGATACAGGGTTTAAAATCTGGTATCACTAAATCAGGTCAGCACATGTATCATCATCGTTGATAGACACATAAATAAATGTTATGTCGACCAATTCTTTAAAATATTCAATGGAAGGTTGATGAAGAAGAGACCAAAATCATACCACTGTAAAACTCCAGGACATAAAACTAAAACACTAAAACAAACATACAGGGAAGAAAAAAAATGCAATTAAATCATAAATATATAAGCACACACTGACAGAATTTTAAATAAAATCTCAGTTCAGAAGAATTCAAGCATACCATGATGGTATGCGCCTCCCAACTTTTGCGTCTTCTCCATAATATTTCTCTGAATTAATCTCATACTTATAAGTTGGTGCGAAGTTTAACTCCCCTTCTGACCATCCATGAAATACACCTTTCTCCAGTTCTTTCGTAAGCTGTCATAACAAGATGTCAATAAAATACACAGCCATACTTAAGTCCTTTTTTATGTTGATACACAAATACATTTCATAATCCATCTCATGGTAACTAAATGAAAAATAATAGCATGGAGCATAGCTATCTAACTTGCTCCAACTTGGAAGCATAAACTATGGCATGGTTACAGATATTGTTGTCATTTGAACACTGTTATCTAATTGTATAACTTACGTGGGTATTAAACCAGACTTTCTTGACACTGGTAAATTGTGTCAAACCAATATTTTAAATTTTTATTTCACTTTTCTTTCCTAGACGAAAAAGAAAAAAAAAATAATCTCCAAGTTAGCTTGAACCCAATCAGGTCATAGAAAAGTTGGTTACATCAGTAACAAAGGCTTACTACAAAAATCTGGGAGCCATATTTCTCACAAAGTGCAGATATGGGCCATATAATTGAGAAGTACACATCGTGTAAGAGAATCTATACTATTACCTGGTCTTTCTCAATCAATTTGGACCATTGCTTTTTTGAGATAAAATCTCTTGTTTTCTCATATGACAAGTTGATACGATAATTCAGATCACCCAACCACATTATTCTTCTGCAAAGTGCAAATAAATTGGAATTGATCAAGTGGTTATAGTTCTTTTAGACAGAACTTGTAAATACAGAATAAAAGCATCCACCCAACAGAATTAAAATGAATGATCATCGTGAAAGCATCCACCCAATGTTTGGATATTATGCATGAGATTTAAGTTGGATCTTCATTGTCACTGTGTAACTAAATGAAAAAGCATCAAAACAAAGCAAAGCTACAGGAATTTAAATTGTGAAGGCAAGGTTTATGCATCAAATATAAGTTATACCAAAGCATTTGGACGAGGCACTGCGTAGGCTAAGAAAAGTGCCTTGGAGAGTTATTTGTCTTGCGTCCTTAGAAGGCACATTTCTTACTCCTTACTCTGCCTGCTTTGCCAACGAATATCGCTTCACATGTTCCAACTAGATTCAGGCTTAAACAAACAATTCCTTTTCATGCAGAGAATGGGTATGCAAAATACGTGCCGAATAAATTTATTGGCTCCATTTCAGATTGACACTTATAAACTAATAAACAACATGATGTTTTGCTAAGAAATCAAAACTGAAAAAGCATCTCAAAGTGCTTGCCAGTATGCATCTTATAATGATGACACATGATAACAAAGAAATTTGTTGTTAGATAACAGATTATCCCAATCTTCTATCATAGGCAATATCTAGAACTAAGAAAAAAATAATAAAAATGAATCATGTGATAAAATTAGTTTATGTATAAGCTAAATTGTAAACATAATTTCACATTAACTTTCTTTAATCTTCTAATAAGCTAATTTTATCTTTGAAAAAAATTATTTCTAAAAAAATTTACTCTTCTACATAATGAGATTTTTACTCACATTTAAATTCTTCTGTGGGGGCAATGATATAATTCAAAGATATAAAAATTTGGCAAAAAAACAACAGCAATGATGCTAAATGGAAAAACCAACAACCAGGTAATTTAGTGCACTTGGTTAGTAGACAATGGGTGAGGGGGCTACAACAGTTCCAACCAGGAGTAGAACATTTTAGTTTATCTTGTTATGTAAAACATGTACTCACTCATGATCAAGGATCTTTCTGGGAACTCCAATACCAGCAAGAGAATAAAATTGGGTTCGTTGATGTATTTCGCGAACATCAGCATTTCTTTTAAGTTCATCTACTTCCTTTTCACCTGCCGTAAGGTGGGTGCATATGAAGCAAAAGAGTGTCTGGTATATAGACATGCTGATAGATATTGATCCCTGAAAATTTTAGAAGTTTCTTATCATTTAATAAGTACATTAACTTTGATCAGATGTCAAGATCACCCAATATTTCATTTGAACAAGCTTCTTCATAAACACTACTTATCCAAAAAGATAAGAGAAAGAAAAATGAATTTCTCTAAAAGTTCTTATTAAATTATGCACAAATTATAAAAATTTCTTCATTTATTTTTTATTATTTTTCTCTCTTAAAAGTATTTAGGAAGTAGATTATTCATATAGCCTCATAATCATCATAAAATATTATGCTAAAAGTTAAAATTATCTGGTTGAGTAACCTAATATTGATGGTCAAAACATAGTGGTATCAATGTTGAGATAGCCAGTAAAACGAAAGTGTCATCATTGATTGGTGCGCACCACACAAAATTTTAGTTTGTGGCACCACCAAACATACCTACTGAATTCGAGTCCACAATTGATGCCAAAAAATATTTAAGAATCTAATACGGCAAGCGAGTAATGCAGAAAACTTTATATAACGAAACGAACACAGAAAGAAAAACGGATATTGTAAAGAAAGGGATAAAGACCTTGTTACCAATATAGCCCATAACACCGACACCAACAGTTGACACCTTTAAATTCTGAATATGTTTTCGCAAGCTACGACGAACCCAAATGGTGATGAAAATCCCAACCATCTGTTTGCTCACTATCCTTACATATGATGATCTCCTTTTCCGCTTCATTAAAGCTTCAAGGTCAATTTCAGCAAGAAAACCTATGTCATCCATGGTTGGCTTGAAAGAATTGGATGTTCTGAAAGATTTGGATGCTGAGAAGGATCTGATAGATTTAAAAGAAGTTGGTCTATCCAATGGTCGCTGTGATAGCAAATGCAGTGGTGGCTCTGGCCAACTCAAACCAATCCTTTCAGAACTACTAATCATTCTGGATAGCTTACTGGCCTGTTGAGAAGATGATGTTTCTGTTTTGTGGGACAAAATTTCGTCGCGGAAACAATTTAGCCTACTCAACCTCTTTCCATCAGAAAACTGTCTCTGTAAATCATTGCCAACTGGGTCTCCTGTGTTGCCAGTGTCAGCAGCATCTGAAGCCAAGACTTCTTCATCTGTGGTTGGTTTATCTGTCCCTCCATCATAAGCATTGTGATCTTCATCCACAGGATGGACTTCCTCACCAATGTCACTATCGCTTTCAAGGAACATTTCTTCTTCTATGTCCGGCACATCATCTGATGGCTTAAATTTTGAAGGAGAAGGAGGATCGCTGAAGGATTTCATCTTTGGTGCTTTTGGTCTAACTCTATTCAGTGTATCTCGAATAATGTTTTCCCATTTTGGTACTGGCCGAGTATCTTCAGCCCCAAAAATGTTACCAGGATTTAACGGTACAATCTCCTGAAGCCTGCAGCATTATAGTGTAATGTTGTAGTCAAACAAGGGGGACAAATCTTGATTTGCATGAAGAGTAGTGTGTTTGTGTAAAGAAAATATATTAATTGTGACTGAAAAATGACATTGTATTCAAATGAATATACAAAATATTAGAAGCATAAAAAGAATGATAATGGACAGAGTACAACTTACCCAAGAACATAGATATCAGCTGGTTCGTTAATGCCTATCCAATCATCAATATCAAGGTCATCAGGTGGAAGCTTTCCTCCAACGTTCCATGTTCCAACACGTACTCTAAGGACAAATATTCACCAAAATCCAGATGAGAGGCTTGAGTAATACCAAAAAACGAACTATGTTTTCTGTTCTTTCAATTCACAGTAAGTAATTACAGTCTTCTCTTGCTAAATAAACACAAGAGTAGTGACTCACCTCAGTTCCTTCTTGTTTATATACTGGGACCTAGAAGTTAACGACTTTTGCCTCCTTAACCTTGGAAGAAATTCTGCAGTTTATTAGATTTTTAGAGGGTGTGATAAAGACAAACAAGAAAAAAACAGCATACTGATTTTTGTAATTCTCAGATTGGAAGAAAAATCAGAAGCTTTGCATGTATGAGAAGGAGAAAATAATAATAACCATTTGACTCAATTGGAGCTTGTTCCCCTCTGCTGTCCCCAAGCCGTGTCTGTTTTCCCCACCCTGCAAAAGGAGATCACAGAAACAGCCAAACTGAAAAGGAGTTGTACAGTCTCAATTCTAAAGTTTGAGATCATTTTGGCATAATCATGATGCTCAATTTTCATATTCTAAGAAAATCCACGCACACAGACACAAACTCACAAACACTAAGACATTCATAACAACAGAAAAATAGTTGTACAGACTCGCCTTCATTGTCTGAGTCACTCTCAGCGTCATCCTCATTATCATCATCAGGGTCAGCGCTGTAATCAGGCTCGTTGCTACCCATGTTAAGCCATTTCCGCACAACCACTCTACCCCAAAAGAGCTGCATGCAACACCAACCAAAAAAGCACATTTAAGTCCAAGTCCTTTGCACTGTGCCTCAGTTTCCCAAGATCAACTAACCCAAAACACAAAGGACACAAGCATGCAGAAACAAGTCATGCACAAGCTCAGGGTACATACACAAAAGCACAAACATATTACCTGTTGGTTGTTTGCTGCTGAGCCTTGCTTCATCACTGTTAAAATTGGCTATATTTGGACATAGCAGAATGAGAAAAGGAAGGCAGAAACTCTGAAGTAATGTCTACAAATAGAAAGGTGTGAAAGGAAACATACAAAATCACATCAAAGCAGTCCCTAACGTCCTTAAACTACTATGAAGTGGAAACAGTGGGTAGTTTATCTTGGGCCAGCGTTTTCTTCATACCATTTTTTTTTTGTAGAGTAATAATTACAGGGTATTTTATTTTGAAAATTGTTGGTCAATTTCACATTTAATTCTTCGCAGCACAAGAAAAACAAATACTACTATTTTGCATCGTCATTCTACAAGAAGTAATCAGGACCAATTCAGTCGAAAAAAGACATCATCTAATGGCTCGTATTAATCTATTTCTTATTCATTCAAAGATTAAAAAGATAATAATAATAGTTCAATTCAACTGCATCGTGACCAAAGATGACAAAGAGTGGGTCCGTGGCTAAAATCACGGGACATGAACAAGTTGGAGGTTGGGCTAATAAATTAGAATAATCATACTCGCACATGTCGAACCTTCCCCACACGTAGCATGCCATGGAGAGAAATCTTATATGAAAAACAATATATACGACAAGTCAATAAAAAAACTCACGTTTCTTTAGGTGAGAAGTTTTAAATTTGTTTTCTACAATAACTCTTAAGTAAAGTCAAGAAAGAATTTTTTTTTTTTTTCAAGAAAGAAGAAGATAAAACAGATAGAGAAATAATAATGTGTAAGAGGGTGGATTAAATTAAAGTCACCAGTCACCACAAATTTCTGGTAAAATTGACACTGATTGATCTAGTTAAATAAAGTTAATTCTTTTTCCACACTCAACAAATGTGGATTAGTGAGTAGATAGCGTGCAAAACAACCACGAAATTAATGGGTGAGTGTATTGTAATGGGGCAATTAGTGTTGCATTCTTCTACAACCTAATTGGTTCAACAATGGACTAAGCAAATGCCAAAAAAGATAGCTCATCATCATGAGATGAAATGAACCCACGACTAGAAGAAATAATTGAATCATATCAAAGTACCAGGGAAAAAGAAAAAGAAAAAGTTGGAGAATGTCCCAAAAATGATTGAGTTATTATTATTATTATTAAACCTCGTATGAAAAAGTAAGTCAGAAAAAACACTAAAATGGGAAAAGCCATTTTTGATAGCTAACATGTAAAAGAAACAACATTTGTAATTAAAACATGCTTTCGTTAATTGTCTGTAATAATCCTCTCTGTTTTCAAATGGAGGGTGAATATATTTTGAATGGAAAATGATACTTTGACAACCCAAATCCATACAACTCCTGTATACTAACTCTCTTTTAATATTATAATAATAGTTTTAATTTATTTTTATTTTTATTAAATCATTCAATAGATTATTATATTAATAAATGTGAGTTGTTTGAAGAGTTGTATGATTTGTGGTTGTCAAAATATCACCACCCTATTTTGAATAGCAACATTGTATTAATAGTGTTTATGATTGCATGTAAATTCAAAGAGAAAGTGACACTATTACAACCACGGCTATAATCGTAGGCCATCATAACTCTTAGATAAGTTTCCATGTGATAGTACAATTATTTATATACACCAGATATCATATTTTGGTTTGAGTAAATGTGGACACAAAACTAATTTGTATTTATTTTTGCTTTTTAAAGAAAATATATCATATATAGTATTAGGTAAGCTAATTAAAACTCGTGTGAAATTAGTTTGCTTTTTAATCTTTTCTACATTCAAATTCTCAGTTTCTTAAATCCATGTTAAACCTTGATTAATTCAAATCAAATTGAATGTATATTTATTTAAAAGGTTAAATTTTCTCAAACCTATTTTTCTTTGGTTTACCACGCATTCTTGAAATAAGAAAGAACCAAATTAAAAAAAAAAAAAAAAAAAAACCGTTCTTGAATACAAATTAAAGTACTCAACAAAACTAAGGACCACAATCTACACAGGACCCACATGAAATGATACGAAGATCAGAAAGTTTTAATCTTTTTTTTTTCTTTCATTTTCTCTATATACGGTTCTGGAAATTGTTTTTATTTTCAAATTATTTATATTGGAAAAACAAGTTCACTTTGAAAATCTCTTTTCTGTCTTTTTTAAAAATGTCAAAAAAGAGTTTGGTTCAATTATTGTGTAAAGAGGTTTTAGGTTTATAAGGATTAGAATTTTAAATTTAAAGTTTTTTCATTTCATCTTAAAAGGTGAATATGGGTTTAATTAAAAGTTGTTGAGGTGAAATTATACTCTATTTATTTATTAGAATTTAATTATAAAACCATGGTGTGTTAAAGTTTACACATCATGGAGTTAGGGTTTACTGCTAATAATTTATAGTGGAGTTAGGGTGTACTTAGTTGTAGTGATTATAATAGAATGTAAGGGTGTTAAAAAGTACTAAATTTTGTTATAATAAAAGTAAATTAAAAAAATTTACTTAAACTGAACAAGGAAACAGTTTACTCAACTGAAATGAATCATTTTTATTTAGTTTAATCAATTGTTTTCTCAAATTCAAACTAAAGTATGCTTTAAATCCAACTTACATTTAAACTAAATTATTATTATTATTACTTTCATTAATATTAAAAGTATGAAATTTTTTATCCTTTATGAAAAAACAATCCAGTTTTTATGTCTCAAACAGTTTGATCCAAATTTTTATAAAACCAGGTTACTTCAACTATGTAATTGGTTTATAAAAAAAAAAAAAAAAAATTCTTATAGCTTAGTTTAGTGTGTAAAAAACAAAAAAAAGTATGGGTCAACGATGTAAACTTTAAAAACATATCCTAACACTAAAGGAGACATGTTTTCCAAAATATTTTGAATTTTCATTTAAAAGAACAAATTGACAAACCAAACATACCTCCGTGTAATATGTCACGATCAACTTTCCCTGAAAACTTTGCATGATAAGTTATCAACATATTTTTTCTAGCCTTTAAACGAATAAAGTCATCTTAATCCAAAATATGCAGATAACAAAACTTTTTTTTTTCTTCTAAATTAACTCCTACAAAACGAAGAAAATTATAAAGCTTAATAGGTATTTATGTCCTTAATTTAAAGTTTATTAAACTTATAAAATAATTTATTTCAAATTAAGTATATAGAGGAAAGTAATAATGAGAGAGAAATTCATGACATTTCTTTTAATTCAAAATTATAAATTTATAGATATTTATTTTTTTCGTCTTTTAAAGTGATATTCCATTAGATGAAGAAGGGAGGCATGGCACATGCATCTCACATTGAGACATGACTTAGACATGTCCTATGTACACAATCATTTCTTTCATATCCCAGTGTCACTTTTATTAATGATGTCCAAGCCTATAAAAACACTTCATATGTGTGTTTCATTTTTTGTATGAATCATTATGACCACTTTTTTTTTAATTTAATTGGAAAATTCACATATGAGTAATATGTTAAATATGTAATAATGCATTCACATTCTAAAAAAACGTCGTTACCGGTATGATAATAAAATGTCACAAAATAGCACACAATAACAAAATACACACAAAAAAATTACACATTAAAATGTAAAATATTAGAAATATAATCCAGAAAAATAAACTTAAAAATCGCAAAATATTAATATCAAATAATTTTATATATAAATAACATTTTTATCTATTTATTTATTATACACGAAATTTTATTCAATAAAAGTTATTATTCTTTCTCATTCTCTTTCTTTTTATTTATTTTTTCCTTTTCTTTCTTCCTCCCTTTTTCTATTTTAATTATATAAATATATAAAAATTTTAAAAATTATATTATCATCAATATAATAATATAAAAAGGTATTTTTTAAATCATATAATAAAAAAATAATACATATTTTATTAAAATCTTAAATTTTTAAGATTTTAAAATTTAACACATATTTTTTTTATAATTTATGAAAAATATTTTGTATCAATTATTAAACAAGAGATTAAGAGGAGAGAGAAGAATTGAAGAGAGAAAAATGAAAAATAAAAAAAGAAATATATTAAAAAAAAAGATAAAATATAACTTAAAAAAATATATTATTAAAGAAGATAAATTTCAACATATTTTTTTATTTCTTCATGTAGTTGGATATTATAATAGTAACTATACAAATATTAAAAAATAATTAAAGGTTATAGTTTAAAAAATGGTTAAAAAACGGTTTTATAACTCAATTTTCTTTATTAATAGGTTTAGATAGTAAGTATATATAATAAATCTATTATATTAATAAAAATAATCATAACACAGGTGTATATCTCCGAATCAATCGTCACTATATAACCAACCATTTATAAAGGTGAGACTTCATACATCTACAAACATGTTTATCAATTACTTGTGTTCCATTATAACTTCATAAAAAGATTAAATATATAATTAAAAAAAAACTCATAAAATATTATAAACTAATATAATGATAGCATTACCCATTATCAATCATTTGTGTTACGCAACAAATCGATAAAGATATAACTTTTTCAGCTTTGTTATCTTAAAAATTGTTTTTCACATTATCTAATTAACTTAGCCTGTCAAAAATAATAATACTACTATTATATAAGTTATACTTTACCACTATAACTTTTTTATTTTATGATTTATACTGGTTATTTTATAGTTATAAATCACCAAAATATATAAACTTATAAAATATGACTTAATCATGTTGGTAATTAAAAAAAACTACACGGATACAATAATTTAGAAACTAAATGATAATGGGACGATGAAAGAGACAACTCTGTAAGCTTTAGACCACGTATGCTATTATCACCTTAACTTTATTTTTTGTGATGTATCATCACCTTAACTTTGATAAAAGAAAGATAAGTATTTATGTATTCAATAATTGGGATTCTACAAAATTTTAAAGAGGTTAAGTTGCTGTAATGTGTTCAAAGAAATATAAGTTTGTCATTTAATATATGTATATATATATATATGCAACTGATATTAATTAAAATAATTGATACGTGTGCGTTCTTAATCAAATAATTAAAATAATAAATTTAATTTGATTTATATGATTAATTAGATAAGAATCTTCTATTTATAAATTTAAAAAATGGAATAAATAAGTATTTCCATACATGAATCACATTTTAGATTTATAATATAAACAGTTTATATTGTGATATACAATTGTGATATATGATTATTTTTAAGTATTAATAATATTTTTGAGAAATTAATAAAAATTAATTTAAAAAATAACTTAATTATACTTTATCTCCTTTGCTTTTCTGATTTCGTGAATTTTATCAATCTAATTTGTTTAATGTATTTCATTTACTAATTATAAAACTTTCAAATATTTGTCCATATACGCTAGTTAACTAGGACGTAATAATAATAATAATAATAATAATAATAATAATAATAATAATAATAATAATAATAACTAATAATAATAATAATAATAATAATAATAATAATAATAATAATATATTTGTATAGGTTAATGATGACATAATATTGACACCGTCGAATCGTAAACATGATAATGACAAGCGAATTTGTTAATGGTAGACATTGAAATGAGTCACATGTGAAGCTGACAAGAGGAGGACATACCCACCCACTAGCTTGTCATAATCCCGAGGTTTAATTCATGCCATTATTATAGATAAATTAGTTAAAATTTTATCAAAATGGTTTATATAAAAAATTTAATTGTTTTAAATAACTTTTTTTCACAATCTCCACTTTTAATCAATATAGACTTGAAATTTATTATAAAATATTTTTATTTTATTTTTAAGCAATAGTTAAAAATTTTATTTACAAATATTCTTAAAACAATTTTTATTAAATTTTAACAAAGGTTTATAATAAAATATTAATATTTATTCTTAACCAACTCTTACAAACTCTAACCTTATCGATTTTGACCGAGGCTATTGTTACACGTCGCCTTAATTGCTAGAATGATCAGAGTTTCCATTTTTTTAGCAATGTTTTAGAAAAAAAACTCATTTACCTTTTAAAGAAAATAGTAGATTCGTGGAATATTTTGAAATTCAAAAGTAAATTGATTTCCACTTGTAATATCAAAGAAAAATGAAGCCAGAATGTATTCTATACTTCTATAATTAACGTTAGAAAACTTTATTAACTTGATTAGCTGAAATTATTGTTTTGATTTAAAAAAAAAAACACATTGGACCTAGTCTCACAAATTAAGTTATAATTCGGCATAAATATGATAACCCATCAATCTAATTTTAAACAGACACATCAGAAACCTTTCAAGAACAGTATACACATGGATATGATGCAATGAACTTGTGAAAAACCGTTTGAATATTCTAACCCAAATAATTGTTATTATTATAATTATAATTTTCACATAAGACAAACGGAGGAATTGCAATTTTGCCGGACATAACAGCAAATGTATTAAACAATTTGCTGGATCGGGAAAAAAGGAGGGAAATTTTTGTTTATTAGTTTGGATATGATTCCACATTAGCGTAGGTTTTAAAAATGGTGAATTTATTACATTTCCTTTGCTTAATTCCAGTAATTAATCTAGTGTATATGTAATGTTGCCAGGTGCCACGAAGAAACGTACTCATTTGTGTTTTAATGGTGGCATTCAGGGACATAACATGTGACAAAGTCAATGTTTTATATTGTTTTCACGCCAATCAAGGTTTGTTTGATCTTGTGACGATTGTCAACGAAAATGAAAGTGTTTTAAAATTTTAATTTGGGGCAGGATTAGCTGACATTGCTTATTGTTGCTAATGAGAGCATTATTTGACATGGCACTTGTTGGATTAGTGAATTGTGATTTCAAATAAACATTTTGAACATTGCTGATTAGTGACAGTTTTTCGTGGGTTACGTGGCAATTTTGTGACCATTATTAGAATCCATAACCAATTTATTTGTATTGGTCAAACGAGAATGATACGTTATTTAGATTTCATTATCATATATGCTTAGACTCTTATTTGCCGGCATATAGCTTATCCGATAGTAAAAATTTCAAGATTGAAAAAAATACAAATATGCTTTACAATAATAAAGTGTAAATAAAAGAAACCGAAAGTGACAATGAAAAGGAGTCCAACTTAATCTATGAAGAGTTGAGCGTGTTTGATTTGATGTTTAGAGTCTCAATTTCATCACTGCAAAAGTTATTTAAAGTAATTTAATTTGTGGTTGATTCATACTATACAAAACCAAAATGCACATAAAAGGTGGAAAAGAGGGAGTGGATAAAGAAGATGACAAAAAGACTCTTGGAACGAATGAAAAGTGGGATATTATTGGTGTGAAAAGCTCTGTCTTATAAAACTGGAACAAATCAACGTGTTAAGTGGCTTTCCAAATCGATTTTGCTCTCTTCCAAGGAATCAACACCACAATAAAAATAACGATTTTATAAATTAGTTTGAACTTTTTTTAACGTGTGAAACTAAAACAATAATACTTCACGTTTTTAATCATCAAGTCAAGTTCCAGTTATATCACTCCCAAACACCTCTTTTTTGTCTACAAAACCATGAGAAAGAAAGATTCAATTTTTGTGTTTGTTTGTTTCAAAACAGTTGTGAGGCACAAAAACTATAATTTTGGGTTTAGTGCAAGGTAATAACTCCTTGCACCTCCATATTTTTCATCTACACCTCTATATTTTTAAAAAGATAATACTACCGTAGGTACAAGTTATAAGTTAGACTGAAACCCATGAACTTGCTTCAGCTGAGGCCCAAACGGAAACAGTAACAGTGGACATTTACTTTAAAATAGAAACATAAACTAACCTAAAATTTGACTGTTTGGTAGTGGATAAGGATTAATTATTTAGTAATTTTTTATCAAGTAATTGTAAATCCTTTGGTTGTTTAAAATAATTTATACTATTCTTATTTATATATATATATATATATATATATATATATATATATATATATATATATATATATATATATATAGATGGAGGTATTTCTTGTACTTAGGTACGCATTTATATCCATTCATTCAACGTTACACGTTATATAGTTGGAAGAGCTTTTCTATACAAAAATTTATGTGAGATTTTTTTTTTTTTAATGAACTCAAAGTGTTATCAGTACCATAACTGTGAACTGTGAAGTTTCATACTCTGCTGTTCCTTTGCCATTTGTTGCAAAACACAATATTATGTTGTTTCTTCTGACCGAATCTACTGTTTTCAGGTGATTCTAATTCAATAGATGATGAAAAGACAGTGGAGAATGAGCACAGTAAAAAACTTATGCCACCGATGGAAAATTTGGATGGTTATGGTGCAATCAAAGAAAGGATGACACAAGCCCTTCGTTAATTCAAAGAGTTGACTGAATTTAATGTTCTGGCTCAGTTTTGGGCACCTGTGCAGAATGGTAATCGGTATATGCTCACAACTTCAGGTCAACTGTTTGTTCTTGATCCAGGTAGCAATGCACTCAATCACTATAGAATGGTTTCTCTGATGTACATGTTTTCTGTGGATGGGGAGAACGACGAAATTTCGGGACTCCCTGGTCGGGTTTTTCAGCAAAAGTTACCAGAATGGACTCCCAATGTTCAGTATTATTCTAATAAAGAGTATCCACCACGAGATCATGCTCAACATTGCAATGTTCGTGGAACCGTGGCTTTGCCCGTGTTTGAATCTGAATTTCAGTCATGTGTGGGTGTGCTTGAGTTGATAATGACTTCACCGAAGATTAACTGTTAGAATTAGAAAATATTGTTAAATGTACTCATTAATGTTAGATGTTTCTAATTGTAAGTTTGTTAACTATAAAACAGGGATGAAAATTAAATCCGTACTCCTGTGGACCTGTTCCCGCTCTGAGTTTGACGAGAACAACCCGAGTTGATCGGGAGCGGAGACGGGTTCGGGTTTTCTCCGCTTTAAAAAGTCGGGGTCGGGGGCGGGGATGGGTAATGCAATCTCCACCCCGATCCCATCCCCGCCCCGACTTTATATATAAATTTTAAAATATTAATATTTTAAAAGTATTTTCTTTTCTTTTTTTATTATAAATAAGATCATTTTTTTATATTTCACCATGATAAACATAGAATATACGATTACAAATACCGTATCATGCCATGATTCTACATGATTAATTTTTTCCATATTTAGCTTAGCATGACAGACGATGCACGGTGATGCACATTAATGTCATATCTCGTTAATAGACAAATTTAGGATACTGACTATAATGGTTAGCGTAATTATAGCCTAGAATGTTTACGTATTTCATGTATATATTGTGCTATCATATTCAATACAAGACAGGGGTTTTTGGAAATATTTTTATCATGGTATCGGAAGCGAACCAAACTCCGATATCCAACGACTCGAGAACACAGTCGTACTTCTAAAATGGCGGAGAGAGGAGAGACGGTGAAGAAAACACCATCGCCATACGATCCGAGTGCCGGTGATAATCCTGGAAATGTGATTACACGAGTACAATTACGAGGAGAGAATTACGAGGAATGGGCAAGGGCCGTGAAGATATCTCTGCGGGCTCGAAGGAAATGGGGTTTCATAGATGGAACTCATAAGGAACCTGAAGAAGACACATCCGAGATAGAAGATTGGTGGACAATTCAATCGATGCTTGTATCTTGGATACTAAACACTATAGAACCTAGTTTGTGTTCCACTTGTTGCATACATGGAAAACGCAAAGGACCTATGGGATGACATCAAGGAACGATTCTCGATTGTGAACGGACCAAGAATCCAGCGGCTAAAGTCGAGTTGGCGGAATGCAAACAACAAGGAATGACTATGGTTTCCTATTATGGGAAGTTGAAAACGTTGTGGGATGAGCTGGCAAATTACGAGCAAATCCCACGGTGTAGATGTGGGGGATGCAAGTGTAATATTATGACGCAACTTGAGAAACGAAGAGAAGAAGAAAAAATTCATCGAGTTCTTGATGGGGCTAGATGATGAGGGCTATGGAAGCTGCACGGTCAAATGTTTTGGCAACAGATCCATTACCCTCGTTGAATCGGGTGTATGGCACCATGGTGCAAGAAGAAAGGGTGAGAACAATCACCAGGTCTAAAGAAGAGCGAGGAATGATCGTGGGAATGACTATGCGAGCGGAAACCGAGGAGCAAGTTGCGCAATGAAGCGAAAGAAAAATCGAGTTGTTTGCATGCGGTGTGGAAGGAAGGGACATGACAAAGGCAATTGCTTCAAGATCATTGGTTACCCGAGAATGGTGGGGAGAGAGACCACGAACCGATAAAAACGATGAAAAAAATCAACAAAGAACAGGAACCTTCCGAGGAAAAGGAGGAACGACTCGCGTCAATATGACGCACATCGATGCGGATAACGTTGGTTCAACCGAAAAACCGAAGTCGCGGGAGCTGAGTAATGAGCAATGGCGAGATCTTGACAAGCAATGTTGAATTCTCGCAAGGCAAATGAAACTGAAAAGATGACTGGTAAGAAAGCATGTGACTTGTGGATTATTGATAGTGGCGCCTCTAATCATATGACAGGAACACTAGAAAACTTGAGGGAGAGTCGAGCCTTGGAAGGGTGCCCGAGTGGGACTACCAAATGGTGAATTGGTGCTGGCAAACAAAGAAGGATCGGTTTTCCTTGATGGAGGACTGAAACTTAAACATGTTCTATATGTTCCGAAATTGAATTGCAATTTGATTTCAGTATCACAATTGATCGAATGAAGTAAAATGTACAGTACATTTTACTGATAGATTTTGTGCAATGCGGGACCACACTTCGAGGATGCTGATTGGTGCGGGTGAACGAAAGAGAGACTCTATTGGTATCGTGGTGTGAGTGGCATAAAGGCGTATCGGACCAATGCGAGAAAATCAACTAGAGATTTGGCACAAGCGAATGGGACATCCTGCCTACCAGATTGTTAGAAAAATTCCGCATCCGAACAGCGTGAATAGAAATACGGATACAACTCGTGTGTGTGAAGTGTGTGAGAGATCAAAGTAATGCGAAACACATTTCCTTTAAGTGATTTTCAAGCATCCAATATATTTGATTTAATACATTGTGATGTATGGGGTCCATATAGAACTCCCTCGTCTTGTGGTGCATCTTACTTTCTCACTTTGGTTGATGACTGTTCTCGAGCTGTGTGGATATATCTCTTGAATAATAAGAAAGATGTGTCACAAACCTTAATGCATTTCATCGCCTTAATAGAACGACAATACGAGAAACAAGTCAAAATATTACGAAGTGACAATGGAGCCGAGTTTATGTGTCTTCAACGATATTTTCGAGCAACATGGGATACTCCATCAAACCTCATGCACTTGGAACACCTCAGCAAAATGGGAGAGCCGAACGAAAACATCGACACATCCTAAATGTAGCTCGTGCTCTACGATTTCAGGGAGAACTTCCACTTCAATTCAGGGAGAATGCATTTTGACCGCGGGATACTTGATCAATCGTACACCCTCAACCGTTCTCCATGGAAAAACTCCATATGAAATATTGAATGGGAAGCCACCCACTTATGACCATCTACGGGTATTTGGATGCTTGTGTTATGCACATAACCAAGATAGGAAAGGTGACAAATTTGCAAGTAGAAGTCGCAAGAATGTATTTGTTGGATATTCAATCGAAAAAAGGGCTGGAAATTGTTTGATCTCGGAAAGAGAAGTCTTCGGACTTCGAGAGATGTTAAGTTTGTAGAACATGAATTCCCGTTTGCCTCTCTTGCCCACAGTAGACATTCGGAGGTAGGATTGCCTATCGTTGATGTTGGCATTGTCGAGGAAGCATTGCCTGGACTTGGTGCAATGAACAATGCGAGAACACGTTGTGGAGACCGATGACGTTAACCCCACAACGAAGATGTGCCCACAACCGAGTTCGGGGAGGGCCACGCCGAATGCCATGAACAAGAGCCTCCCACCCGGATCGTTCTCCCACCGGAACAAACCGACTCTATGATGACAGAACTAGAGGTTCCTGAGGAGCATACTGTCCCTGCATCCCTGGGGAAAGGTCTTCGTGTACGAAAGTCATCTGTGAAGCTTCGTGATTATGTCACTAACACCACTTTACAACTCGGTCCCTCAATTCGCACTCCACATTCAGCTTCCTCAGGTATGCCTTACAGTTTGACAAAGTACTTAAATTGTGCTAAATTCTCCTTCCCCCACCGAACCTTTCTTGTAGCCCTTCATGCAGAGAGAGAACCTGTGCATTTCTTTGAAGCTGTTCGGGATGTTAGTGTTAGGAACAAGACAATAATAAAGGAAAGAATGAAGGAGAGAAAAATTCTTGTGTCGTTTATTTTTCTCTCCTTCATTCTTTCCTTTATTATTGTCTTGTTCCTAACAATTGGTATCAGAGCCAAGGTCACGAGTTCGATTCCTGGTGGGCAATTGTTGAGGGGGAGATTGTTGCAGGTTGCACAATTGTCCCGTGGCAGAGGCCGGGTGGGCCAAGTCACAATCCAAGAGTGGGATACCTTGTAGGACAATTGCTGAGGGGGAGATTGTTGCAGGTAGCATCAATTGTCCTGTGACGAAGGTCAGGTGGGCCGAGTCACAATTGAATCGTGGCGCTTGGGCTGTTAAAGTAAAAAGAGTTGCGCTCTGACTAATGGCTATAGCTTTTGGCCTAGTGGTAAGCGCTCGATCCTAACAATTGGTATCGAGTCAAGGTCACGAGTTCGATTCCTGGTGGGCAATTGTTGAGGGGAGATTGTTGCAGGTTGCACAATTGTCCCGTGGCGAGGCCGGGTGGGCCAAGTCACAATCCAAGAGTGGGATACCTTGTAGGACAATTGCTGAGGGGGAGATTGTTGCAGGTAGCATCAATTGTCCTGTGACGAAGGTCAGGTGGGCCGAGTCACAATTGAATCGTGGCGCTTGGGCTGTTAAAGTAAAAAGAGTTGCGCTCTGACTAATGGCTATAACTTTTGGCCTAGTGGTAACGTAAATCAAACTCCAAGTGGGAGAATTGTTAGTATTATGGTGCTTGATTTAGTCCCACATCGATCCTAACAGTTAGATGGAGAGATGCCATGGCTAGTGAAATTCAGGCCCTCCAAAGTAATGAAACATGGGACATTACTCCTCTACCGGCAGGGAAGAAGCCTCTGGGTTGCAAGTGGATTTATAAAATCAAATATCATTCTGATGGGAGCGTTGAACGCTTCAAAGCCCGATTAGTTGTCTTGGGAAATCACCAAGTTGAGGGGATTGACTATGACGAGACTTTTGCCCCAGTGGCAAAGATGGTCACCATTCGGACAATGTTGGCAGTGGCAGTAGCCAAAGACTGGGAACTTCATCAAATGGATGTCCATAATGCTTTTCTGCACGGCGATCTTGAGGAAGATGTGTACATGAAAATGCCGCCAGGGTTCTTGGTGTCTCAAAAGGGTATGGTGTGTCGTCTCCGCAAGTCCCTTTATGGTCTTCGTCAAGCTCCTCGGTGTTGGTTTGCCAAGCTCTCAACTGCTCTTGTTCAATATGGGTTTCAACGTTCTTCGTCTGATCACTCCTTGTTCATCTTTCGCAAAGGAGATGTCGAACTGGTTGTGTTAGTTTACGTGGATGACCTAGTCATTGCTGGCAATCATCATGAAGACATTGCGCAATTCAAAGATTATCTTCATCAATGTTTTCGTATGAAGGACTTAGGGAAATTAAAATACTTTCTTGGGGTGGAGGTTGCCAGATCTCCTACAGGAA